CCAGGAAACACCTGAGCACCAAGAGTACACCCAGGAAACACCTGAGCACCAAGAGCTCCACCAGGAAACACCTGAGCACCAAGTGCCAAGCAAGTGGCCTGAGACATGCTGCAAACCAGGGGAGGACTCTGCAGTGTGTGCATCAACTGCTGATAGAGGAGAGACAACACTGTTGGGTTTAGCTGGTCCCACGGTAAAAGAGAAGGCTCCTCAGCAAATTGAAGTATTGCTGAAAGAATCTCAGAGGACAATAGAAGGTGTCTCAGAAAGATCCCAGGAAAATAAAGTCTTGGATGAAGGTGAGTCTCTCCCCACCCCTGTGTACTGCATTTCCAAAATGCTGATCATTCGGGCCTTGGCTTAGAGGAGGGAGAGCAGGAGAAAGAGTTGTTGGTTCTTGAGCTAAAAAGACTAAGATTGGTCTGTGAATTTTATTCCCACAGCTGGGCTGGGCCATGATAATGTGGACAGCAAAGGAGACARCCCTGTCCACCAGGAAACACGGGAGCACCAGCAGACAATGGGGCAGCGTGAGAGCCCCCAGAGAGCAGAGGAAGATGCTTTGTCAAGAAGCAAGGCACAGAGCTCTGGCAGTGAAATGACACACTGGGATGTGACTGCTGTGCAAGATGTCCCCAGAGTCCCCTCGGCACAGAAGAGCACCAGTGCCGCTCTCCTCAACTGGGAACCAGAGGTGCCCAGAGAGCAAGAAACACAGGAGAGCAGATCCCAAGGCATGTTAAGGAAAAGACCAAAAGGTGAGCTGGTGGCTGCACATTGCTGCTCTTGCTCTGTGCCCTTCCCTTGGGTGTTAGAGCACTGGTTGCGTGAGATCTCTGGTAGCCGTTGGCACTTTCCTGGAGTCAATTTGGGCAGAAGGTATAAGGAATTTAAGTGGCTTCTGTCTTTCTCTCTTCTTTGGTTCCTGTCCTGCTTTGAAAGGCACGAAGCCCCACTGCACTCTGCATTGTCTTTCTCCTTGTCCACCTTATAAAGCCAAGACTCAGAACAGTATGAACTCAAAGAAATATTCACTCCTAACTCTTCCTGCAGCTGGGAGCTCCTGCTTTTCTTACTACAGCTCCATTTACCTGTTCCCTCAGAAGTGAGCAGCACATTTCTTTCTCTTACTGCAGGGGACACAGCCCCAAACCCAGAGACTCAGTCCTGCCTGCAGAACATCACCACCCAAAACCCAGAGCAGGAGAAGGCCAAAGGGTCCCTCATGTGGAAAGGTGAGGAAAAGAAGCTTCCCTTGCATGCTACTCAWCGACCAGAAGGCACTGATCCTCCAGGAACAAGTAATAAAGCACATTTAATTGCTCTTCTCTCTCGGGACCTCTCACATCCTTTTCTGAGGGTTTGAGTGAAAAACATCCCCTTAAATACAGGCTTGGTTTGAGCCTAAAGTAGCAGCTTTCCCTCCAGCTCTTCAGAAGCTGGCTTCTTGTGTTTAGAGTGCTGAGAGTGCCCTGGGGTGTCCTGGGAGGTATGGGGGGCTCCTATGCTGAGGGTCCCCATGCCCAGCCCTGCTCTGTGTCCTGGGCTCTAAGCAGGAGCCGTGATCCTGATCTACATCACACATTTTTCGTGTTAAAAAGAGCCTCTGCTTTGCCATGGAGAGGGACATGAGCCATTGTGTCCAAACCTCACTGTCCTCTCTTCAGTGTAGAAGCTGAGTGGCCTTTGTCCATACACAGCTTGGAGGAGGGCAGTGAACACAGCACCTTACCTGGCTCACACACCTCCATATGTGGTGCTCTAAATGGCCCCAAACCTTGAAGAAAACAGAGAAGGGAGAAAGAGAAAAAAACCCTATGGGCAGCAGCAATTTCTTCAGGCCGTTTTTCACAAAGCTATAGCCTTGTCCTCATCCTTGGGGCTGCCTGGTGTGTAGGAGCGTGGGTCTCACAGTGCAGAGCCCCTTCACCTTTCCTGACCACCCTGCTCCACTTTCCTGATGTGGGGGGGAAGGTCTGAGATGGGAAAATGCTGCTTTTCCAGCATGTCCCTGTAGCTCCCTTGGGACTGACCCCGTTCCCATCTCGTGTCTCTCCCGTGTTGAGCAGGGCTCGTCATCGTGGGCCTCGTTGTGCTCGGCTTCTGCATTTTCTGCTTCGGCAGCCCGACCTCCAGCTCGCAGCAGCCGCGCAAGAACCCCACGGTGGAGGCCTTCCTGTCGCAGTTTGACCAGCTGCAGCTCCGCTTCCCGGGCCAGAGCCCCCACCTGTGGCTCCGCGGCCGCAAGTTCCTGCAGAAGCACCTGAACACATCCCAGCACACGCAGCCGGCCATCATCATCCTCACGGCCGCCCGCGGCGCCGAGTGGACCCTGCGCTGCCTCAGCGCCCGCCTGGCCGACTCCTACTCGGCCGCCCTGCACGGCAGCACGGTGCAGATCGACGGGCGCGGCAAAGCCGGGCTCCAGAGCGACCGCGCCAAGCTGGAGGTGGACTCGGAGCTGAGCTCGGCYTTCCAGGCCGGGGGCCGCGCCGCCGTCGTTCACCGCTTCGAGCTGCTGCCGGCCGGGGCCACCCTCATCTTCTACAAGTACTGCGACCACGAGAGCGCCGCCTTCAAGGACGTGGCGCTGCTGCTGACGGTGCTGCTGGAGGAGGACGTGCTGGACAGCCAGATCAGCCTGCGCCAGGTGGAGGAGAGGGTCCRTGACTTCCTCTGGGCCAAGTTCACCAGCACCAGGACCCCCAGCTCCTACGACCACATGGACTCGGACAAGCTGAGCGGGCTGTGGAGCCGCATCTCCCACCTGGTCTTGCCCATCCACCCGGTGCAGACCATCGAGGAGGGCGGCTGCTATRCCAAACCCTAGGGACAAAGGTGGCCAGAGCCCTGAGGAGGGTTAGAAAGATGKTCCTGGCTGGCTCTGGTGCAGGCAGAGGCACAAGTGGTGTTACTTCTCTTCAGTTTGTTTCTTGTAGATTCCTGGGAAGAGTTTGGCAGGKGCGAGTTGATCCCGGCCATTTGGGYRGCTGAGTCCTGGAGGTGATACCCACACTTCCTTCTGGCAGATGGTTTTAGACTGGCAGATCCTTTTAGACTGCTGGTTGCACAGGGGAACATGAACATGAACACGTATAGGAGGCAGGAGGGAGAAYAGGACCTTGCAGGTAGTGTTTCTATCAAGAAACAGACAAATAATGTACACAACTAGTGGGAAGAAAGGCTGTTTGATACAGCAGCTCTTTCATCTCTCCCTGTCCCTCAGCTTGATGAAGTGGTGTGCATCAGTCTCACGATATACTTTATGCAGAGAGCTGATAGAACACGGGAAGGTCAAATTCCTCAAAGCCCAGCRTTTTGAAGGCATGCCTTAAAAAGAAAAGCAATTTGCCAGTCAAGGGTTTGACCCAGTCAGCCCGTATGGAGTCCCACTTGCACAGCCTGCTTGACACCAGGCAAAGCCCAGATCCTCAAATGARCCTACAATTGAGAGATCCCCCAAACAGCAATTACAAGACATTTTCAGGCTGTCAGCACTTGAACACTACACTAATGGCTGGGATCCTAYTAAGGGAACAAGCTCCAAAACCAGAGAGCAATGAAACAGTCGTTGTCTCCCTGAAAGAGAGGAGCCTTAAGGGATTGCACAGGTGAAAAGATGAATAATACAGTGAAACTTAATGCTACCTCTTTGTAAAAAAAGTCCACTCGATCCCTTTGCCACACAAAGGCTATGACTCTCTCCTTGGGCTGATGCTTTGGTCATGACAGTTTGTTCTTCACCTGGATCTCTGATCAGTGTGCAGGGCTGGAAGGCGTCTGCCAGCCTCTCCCCAGGTGACTTTTATTGATGAATGGGGATGTTAACACTGATATTTCAAACAATGTAGGGTAACACCCCAGGTCCTTCCCCTCCAAGGGTACCTTTGCTTCCCTGCCAGGTAGATGGAGCTCTGGCATCTGCCAAAGCAAGTAGGAGCAGAGCTGGATTAGCTCATTAAGACAAAATCTCTGCCATTAACACTAAAAATCCTTGACAAAGCAGGTTAGCTCCTTACCATGCCTCTTTTTCTGCTTCCTAAAAAAAAAAATCCGAGTCCTGGAAACACTGTGGTGGCCCTGCCCCCGTTTCTGCAGGTGCTGTGGGGCAGAGCAGCCAACTCAGGGAACACCTGGAGGGCAGGTTGAGATCACAGTGTTAATTAAACCCACCAGGCAGCCCCAGGTGCCAGCCCCGTGTGCCTATGCAGAATCGTGGCTCCTTCCCACAGACAGAGCCTTGCAGAGCCAGGCTTTGTATCCACACAGGAACAAATCCACACTGCCATGGTGTTTTTAGGAGCTGGACATCTGGGTGTTTCTGACAGCAACAGGACCCTGGTGTTGGGTGGGTCTCCTGCCAACAGTGCCTTGCTGATCTGCCCCACCAATGGCTTGGAAAGGCACAGCCCTGCACTCTAAAATCACAACCTRTCTCTGTTTTCCCATGTGCCTTGACCTGTCTCAGGAGATAAGTGGCCATTAATGTGGAGGAGGAGACAAAGCTAAGGAAGAGGGAGGGTTGTTTGTTCCTGTTCTGGCCAAAGAGCAGACTTTTTGGTTGGTTGGAAATATGAAGACGAGACCACAGGGGTTTTAACCATGGCAAACTCTGGGCTGAATGTGAGAACTCCCTGCTGGGGCCCAGGGCATGGTTTGGTACAAGATGCAGTTTGCTCCCTCCCCTCTTTTCTACTGCTGTACACTACTTTGGTGAGAGAAAACACTGTCCTGCTCTGCACGTTCAGTAGGGGTGTTGATGCAGGAACAGCGGAGCATTAATCACACTATGCCAATATTCTGTATTTTAATGTTCTCTCTCTCAGTTTTACCCGCTGTGTTTGCAAAGGCAATTCCCCATTGCTGAAAGCATTGCCTACCTGAGCTCTTCCAATACAGAGATAYTTTCATGGCCTTATAAAGTGTCTGATTGCTTCTGAAACAGGACTTCTATTTAAAAATAAATGATGAGATTGTGAAAGAAGCCAGCAAAGTGAGACTGGAGTCTTACTGTTTCCCGATCTTTTTTTCCTAGCTATTTTTATTAAGCAAAAGAGATAATCATTTTGGACAAGGTTTCATTTAGGTCAGGGCTATAGTTGTGCAAACAAAGTGAGTATTTGCTTTTCCTGGAAAAACTCTAAACAATGTTTTTTTCCCAATTGTTTGGGACAAATATTTGCAGCTTTTTCAGCTGAAGCAAAATTGAAAACCAACCCCCAAAGAGCTGCTGGATYCAACCCAGGCTGGAATACACTGGAGTTTGCATAATACTTAATGRTAATAAATGAAACTGAAATCCACTGTCAACTGAAATGTTTTAGAAATACAAAAACCAAATATTTCTCATTTCAACAGACTGGTTCCACTTGATATTCCACCACCTCAGCACACAAAAAGTTTTACTTTTGTGAWGAATTATTTTGCCCAGCTGTAGCCTAAACAGAGAGAGGGCTGGAAAAAAAGAAAGAGGATTTGCCTCATTACTTTGGATTTTCTTCAGTCCCTGACAACCTAATACTCACATAGATGTTCATGTGATTGGTTGCCAGAAATAATCATCCCTCATCTCCTGTTGGCTGATGCCAGAGGACAAGATTTGGTCCCACCCCAAAGATTCCCATGAAAATCCAGTGTCACCAGGTGCAGCAGAGCTGAATGCAAAAAACAGGCTGCTTTTTTTAAGTCTTGTATGTGAATCCAAAAATGAGTGAACAAACTCAGAGGCAGAAAGGCACTGGTGGTTTCCCCTGGATAACATGCTCACCATCATCTCTGTAGGTGAGCACCAYCATCCTTGTACCTGCTCCAAAACCTGGTGCTGAGGAGAAGCAGGACCCCCAGCAAGGTTTCTCCCAGACAGGGATTCCAGTTCCCTTCTTCCCAGACTGGGTTGGTTTGGAAGCTCCTGTTTTCCTGCGTGTGTTTCCCTGGGCACAGGCACAGCAGCTGCAGAGCCCTGGCTGGGGAGGCCACTGAGTGACACTGGAACTCTGCACCCCATTCCCAACTCTCCTTCTTTTGTTAAGTCCCAATCTGTGCAGCAGCAGTTCTGCAGGGAAGGATGTGATGCCATAAAGTGCTCAACAATCCTAAAAATCACCTTGGAAATTACACAACACACGTGGTTCTGGGTGGCCAGCCCGGACTGCTCCACCACTAAATTAGTGCTGATTATCCACGTGAATGTGCCGCTGTCCTGCAAGCTGATGGAACTTTGTCATCCCCAGCATTTAAAGTGGCCCAGCCGGTGCTGCCCAGGTGTGGCACATCGCTCTGCAGCGTCCCTGTGCCCGGGACAGGCACTTTGTGTCACATCTCACCCCCTTGCACCAGCACGGGGTGCAGCTGGAAGAGGGCAAGACACAGAGAGGAGTGAACCCAGCTCAGCCACATTTCCCCYGAGATGAGCTTTAACCTCTGAGCTCATCTGCAGCTTCACCCCAGGCTCTGCTGCCACAGGGCTGCTCCCTCGGGGGCCACTTTTCAGCCYACAAAACCTCCATTGTAATTGAGATTTGCAGATATTGGGAGCTTGGATCTGTTTTTATTTCCCACCTTCAGCTCTGCAGGGRAAGCAGCTGTACAATGAACCACACAAAGGAGCTTGGCCTCAGCCTGTGGGATCCCAGAGCCTGCCATGAAAAGGCTCAAAGAATGCAGCTTAAAAGTGTGTTCCCCACATGGGGAGGGGGATAAGGCATGGCAGCTCAAAAGTGTGTTCCCCACTGGCCTCTCCCTGCTGGAGTGGACTTTGCAGTTGTGCTGAGGCTGAGGAGAGGCTCTGCAGGTCCCTCGTGAGGGCACTCAAGAGCTGAGGATCCTCCAGGAGCCAGAGTAGAGCACAAGGGATGGAAACAGCCTCCCCAGAGYGCACTTCATTCGAGCTCTGCTCCATCCTCTGCCCCACTCTGACATCTCCAGAAGGAGCACACACAGAGAAAGAAACTGGTGTCTGAAAGCTCTACACACCACGCCAGCCTCACATGTGTTTTTCTAAACTCTCAACCTCTGTAATCACATTCCCAAGACTTTCCCCATGAGAAGGCAGCTGCCACCTTTGACAGGTGAACTGTGAGCAGAATAAATCCTTTCAGGTCATGGTTCAGGATGGTCTGCTCCAACCCTGCAAGATCTGGTGCAACAGCAGCCACAAAAGCTGTTCCTCCTTTCCAGAGGCAACACATTTGGATTCCCTTCCTGACTCTGTTTGGAAGATTTTTGGAGAAACTGTTGGCTGTTGAGACCAAATTCAATGAAACGGGAGGTTGAAATAATCCCAGGTGACTTCCAGAGGGCAGGGGATAAGTGTGGATCAATCCCTTGTGTCCAAACAGGACTGGCATCCTCCAATGAAAAACGCTGGCTGTGGAGAGACTGTTGGTGGCACCGAAACTGCAGGAAAAACAAAAACTCTCCAACAACATTTTTAATGTTAGAGAGTCAAGGCATTCCTTTATTTTCTAGCCAGGAYATGCTACAAAAATCATTTCATCCACACATAGCCCAGGTGTGTGGAGAAAATCATTCCGTGGCACATGGATTTTACAAGATTTCCCCCAAATTTTATACAGTCAAAACCCACAGAACTTCACTGGTTTAATGTTCACTGGTCCAACGTTGTGTAGTTCTTAGTATTTTTTTTTCCTATTGGATCCAGATTTCTTCACCTCCAATGCTAATTAGGTTCTCTTATCTCTTTTTTTTTTTCCCAGACCAGGTGTCTCTGGCCATGCCAGGGGGAGGTTTGGAGCTGATATTCCATYGATGGTCCTTTTGTTSTTTTCCCGGTCTGTTGAGCTGTGAAGCTCCTCAAGCCTCACCTGGTGGAACAATGCCCTGCAAAGAAACTTCAGTGCCCTTCCCCCGGSGCGAAGGTGAACAAAATCTCTGACTAAAGTTACATCAGCACTTTTAAACTGGTGTATTTTCCAACATTGGGATGAAACCATGTGTGCAAGGGAGATCCCAAACCCAGTGAATYCTTTAAACATTGCCTGGTGGCAGCACAGACCTGCTTTCTGTTAACAGGATGCATGAAACTGGGAAGCAGCTGGGAAAAAGCCCTAGTTGTGATGGTAGGGGCTGAATGGAAACCACAAAGGGCTGCTGCACATGCCAGGCTCGGTCTGATCACACACAGAATGCATCCCACAGCAGAACAARCTGGTCCAGCTAGAAAGTGGCTGCTTTACTTTACGGTCTGAGTAAAGACAGTAGGAGAAAAAAATTGGAAATTATTAAGAGTCTGGGAGTAAGATGCGGTGGCTTTGTTCAGAAGATTTAAAATGTATTAACCAGTTAAGTAACACTATCAAGCCTTCCTAATCACTGGTGACTGTGGAGAGCGTCCCAGGACTATAAGGGAACCTTTATCTCCCATGTCCTTGTTCCCACATTGGCTGCGAGTATTCAAAACCTCCCCTGCACCTCGGGAAGACAACCACGCAGCCTAAACTCAGGATGTGAAATGTCAAGCGGCATTTTAAACGCTGCCTTTGTGCCTTCCACGCTGCACTTGTATCGCCCTGTGAGCGCAGGAGGCTCAAGAGTGATGAAAGGGGATGAAAGCAGAAGGGTCAGGAGAGAGGGGCACAGAGGGGCCCTGGAGGGGAGAGCATCGGAGGCCACCTGGATTTTCCCCGTCATGCTCCCGCAGATCCCCCTCTCCAAATCGTCTGCGCTGCGCAGTCTGCGTCTGCCTGCCAGGGCTCCTGGTTTTCAGAGGGGCTGGAGAAGATCAGACACACTGCAACTCGCCCCGCTGGAGCCAGCCAGACAGCCCTTTTCTTCTTAGGCACAGCCTCCGCGCCTCTCCACAGCTTCGCTTATCTGCGGAGCAGGAGCTGGCTCCGGAGGAACATTACACGGGGCTGCAGCAGGGCAGGACAGCCAGGGGCTGACTGAAGCTCTTGTCGCCTCCCTGCCTTTGTAGGCACAACCGCGTTCTTTGTCAGCGCTTCTCAYCCTCATTTTCTCCGGCTGGGTCATGAGCCGATCGCCCCCTCCTCCCCCTGCCAGCAAACAGCTTTGATCAGAGTCCCCGGCCGTCCCCCTGCTGACATCCCTGTCCTTCCTCTCCCCTCCCTCCACCTTGAGGCTGAAACCCTTGGTGGAGGAGCAGTGAGGGCTCGGATCGCCTCCCCACACCAATTRCAGCACATCTGGCAGGCAGCAGCCGCTGCTCCCCGGCTGCCCGCCCCGGGCTGGGGACACCTGGTGCCATTTGTGCACAGCCGGTGTCCATGGATCACAGCACGGCTACTGGCAGCATCCTGCCAAGGGCTGCCTTCTGACCACCTGCACAGCGAGGGTGACCCAGAAAGGAAGGGGCAAGAGACCTTAGAGCCTCTTGCGGTGCCTAAAAGKGCTCCAGGAGAGCTGRGGGGGRATGTGTTGTTAAGGGCATGGAGTGACGGGCCATGGGGGAACGGTGTGAAACTGCCAGAGGGAAGAGTTAGATGGGATATTGGGAAGAAATYCTCTCACAGTGAGGGTGGTGAGGCCCTGGCACAGGTTTCGAAGAGATKCTGTGGCTGCCCCATCCCTGSAMGTGTTCGAGGCCAGGCTGGACGGGGCTTGGAGCAACCTGGGATAGTGGAAGGCGTCCCTGCCTGTAGCACKGCTTGTAGCGAAATGATCATTAAGGTCCCTTCCAACCCAAACCCTTCTAGGATTCTGTGATTCAAGCACCACCCCGACAAGAGCAGCTCCCGTGTCCTGGGGGATGCTGAGCTCTGTCCCAGCCCGGGCAGAGGGATGCCCTGTGAAGCAGCGCTTGCCCACAGAGGGCAGAAGGAGAAATCGGCTAGCCAAAAGGATTTGTGCGGGAGGAAAYGAACGGAGAGCTCCGCTCGGGATCCAGGGGTAGCGCGGGTGACTCTGCAAGGACCTGTCGGTGCCGGGGCCGCTGCGRGGGCTCGGAAGGAGCCGCACGGAGCGACGAGAGACCTCGGAGCGGCGGCAGGGCGGTGCGAGGGGCAGGCGGGGCGCGGCGGGGCCCCAGGAGCGCCCGGCCCCCGTCCCGTCCCATCCCAACCCATCCCTCCATCCCGTCCCTCCATCCCTCCCCCGCCGAGCGGCCGCGCCGCGGGTCGCCGCCCGCCACCCGGCAGGTTGTAAAGTCATTAACTCCCCCAGCCATGCCGGGCCGCGCTCCCCGGGCCCCGCCGCGCCCGCTGCCGCCGCTGGTGGGCCGCCGAGCCGCCTCCTCCTCCGCGGCAGTGGCAGCAGCAGCGCGGCATGGCCGCCGCTCCCCGCCGCCTCCTCCTCCTCCTCCTCCTCCTCCTCCTCCTCCGCGCCGCCGCCCCCCTCGGCGATAAGGTAAGCGGCCGCCGAGCCTCCCCCCGCTCCCTCCCTCCCTCCTGCCTTCCTTCCCTTCTTCCCTCCCCTCGGGGAGCCGCGGCGGGGCAGGGACGGAGCGGGGTCCGACCCGCGGCCCCTCGCCCTTGCTCGCAGGTTTCAGGTTCCTGGGCTCCGGGATCTCCCCTCGCTCCGCTCCCTCCCTCATCTCGCGAAGGGGGTTTCGTCGCCTGTCCCCCAAAGTGACCCCGAGGACCGGGCTTTGCCCGCTCGCAGTGCCCGGCACTAACAAAAGGCTGATGGGGGTGTGAGGATGCACGAGGAGGGTCCCAGCATCACCAGAAGGACCACGGGGAGCAGCGCCCTGCCCTGCTTTGGGGTTCGCCCAAAGCTGCCCACCGCCTTCATCCCTCCGCATTCGCCCGTAGCAGAGGGTTGGCTCAAATTTAGGGCTGGAAGCAAACAGATTTCGCCCTTCCCCGTCCCTCCTGCCCACCCCCCGGGCATGGCTTTAAGCAGCTGCTGTCCCCACTAGCCCTGGGGTGCGTGTCCCGGCATCGGAGCCCCTCACTGCCCTCATCTCTGCGCTCCTCCACAAAGGACCCCCCTCAGCCCTGCCCTCCTCCTGTGGCACTTGTTTCACAGCAGCACCGAAACCCCTGTGCCCATCCCGTCTCCTTCCCGAGGCCCAGCCGGGATGTATCGCCCCCGTTCCCGTGGCAGGGCCGGCAGAAATCCCGGCTTCCCGGCAGAAATCCCGGGGCTTCGYGGGGCGCCGGCGGTGCCCCTGCCTCCACGGGTCACTGCCTGCATTGTGCCTCAGCACTCCCGTTTTCCTCAAGGGGAACCCRGCCGCATTTCTTTGCTGCCTAAGGAATTCTGCTCTGCTGAGGGAAGAGGGGTTTGGGTTGTGTTTCCCACCCTCAGGCTCATGGCTGGGATGAAGCAATCTCACATGAGCCATTTTAGAYACAGAGAAGACCAGACACTGCGGATAGCTCAGGTTTGAGGAGCAGCAGTGTCTCCTGTTCTGGGGTTTGTCCTAGTTTTAAAGCCCAAATGTCTCATTTCCACTTTGTTTTTACCTTTCCTACACATCTGCTGCCTGTTCTGTTTACCCCTGAGCTGCGGGCTAAGTCAGAAGCTTCAGGCAGAGCAAGCCAGGTCAAGCTAAACAGTTGTGAAGTCCTTTATTGGGGAGTGACCTGGATGGACTCCTCCATCAACTTGTGCACGTGTTCTCCCTGCCTCCAGCAGCTGTGTTTGCACAACACCCGAGACAAGGGCATCCCTGGGTGGCAGGAGGGCTCCCCAGGACAAACACACACCAGTTCCGTGTCCAGCTCTGCCCTGAAGATTCCCTGCTCCAGGAGATCCTCACGAAGCAATCTGATCACAGGTTACGTGGTGCGAGTTGTCCTGGTTCTGGTTGTTGTCTGTCTCTGTGCAAGGCAGCGCACAAAATGCTTGTTGAGGGATTAACCTGTGGTTCCTCCTTCCCTCCCGTTTTCCATATAAAACTTTACYCAAAGAGTGTCAGAAAACCTCAATCCATAGTTTGGGCAAGGAACTTCCTAACCAACTTCCCTCCTGGCTGCATTCAGTGCCTCTGAAAAACCCAATGATAGACATGTCCTGTGCACACTCCCTTCTTCCCCTTCACRCTTTTCCATCCTTTCTATCTGTTTGTCCCAGGATAAGTGCATTATCCTGCTTGCAGGGAATGACCTAACTGACTTGGACCAAGGATTTTGTAATGGCACACAGCATTTGCCTGTGAACTTTCTGTCATGGCAGGATTACAAACAGAACTTGGTAGTTCTCCACTGGCTTCTGTTCACTGCTTTTATAATTTGCTTTTCATCTGTGCCTCATTATATGTCCAGATCTCTGCTACTTATCTACTGCAATTTCACATCTTTAACAAGCTGCTGTCTTTCCACACATTATTGTTCTTCTCGATCCCTTAAAAATGATTCTGCATTGCTTGTTTTACCTCAGGATACCTTCCCCTGTGAAAACATCCTCAGATATCTTGTTTCAGCTTTTCTAGGGAAAATATGGGTTTGTGTCTGCTTTCAATATAGAATCTCTCACACAAACTATCTAGTCAACCCAAACAGTATAAAACAATGACAGGATGAGAAATAGCTTTATACAAACACCACTTCTTTTGTAAAACATCAGGGCATAATTGCAGCTGCTATTGTTTTTTTTCTCGGGGCTGTGGTGAGTCTATCACCACAGTTTTAGTCAGAGAAAGACAGAAACCCAAACCAGGGGCATTGAACATGGTCATTCATTCCCAGATAATAATCTGCCATTCATTCCAGGCATTCAGACATCTGAAGCTATTTAGGATTTCAGTAAGTAGTGTGGTTTGCTGCGGAGAGAAGCCCTTAAGTGAAGGGATGGTGGAAATTTTTGGTAGAGGACATGCAGTTAACGGCCTCGGAAAAGGTCTGGGAAGAATTTATTTCATTTTCAGCTGCTGTTTCGAGTAGTCTCATACTCTCAGACAGGGCTGAGCAGAACATTTTACAACAGCTACTGTGCCCTTCCGTGGTGGGCCAGCCCTCAAGGCTGCAGTGAGCCTTGCCCCAGCTCCTCTGTTAAGGAGGCATGTTTGTGGTCTGTCTTCCCAGACAGATTTTTTTTTTTTTCCAGGAGCCAGGCTCTAATGAATCTCAAGATTAGGCACAACAATAAGCARCACAGGRGACTGTGCCACCGACAYGGTAATTGCAGTTCTTCCCAKGTTTCTGGGAAAGCCAGTGTAGCTCCGAGCYGATCCAGAGCATGACAGAGAGTCAGCGGAGAATTCATTTTATCCCTTTCAACTCTTCAGAAAGGCCGCCTGGAAATCCGATAGGATGTCAGGCCAGGCCCACCCTTCTGTGCAGGGCTGAAGGATTTTGCTTGTGGCAGCTTTTCTTTGGCAGGGGGGAGAGGGGGAGCAGCTGCTGCTGGGCAGACAGAGCGTTCAGTGACGCTGCCTCAGGGAGTGATGTTTCTGTCTTGGATGCCGGGAAATGCAGAGACAGGCATTTTATTCTGGGAAAGRTCCCTGCAGGTTGGGGTTCAGAGCTCTGCACCCCCAGCCAGGGGCSGGGAGGGAGCTCTCAGCTCCTCCAGTGAAGGTGTGGAGGCGCAGGAATTCCTGGGTTACCTGGGAAAGGGAGAGCTGCAGCTCCGGAACCACCGGGTGCCAAACTGCAGGCACCTCGGGGGAAATTCTTGCTGAGAGCACCTGGCTGAGCTRGAATATGGTCTGTCCTTTCTAGGGGTGGGAATTCTCATCACCTATGAGGAATCATACCTGGCCCTCTTTACCTCCTCTAGGCAGAGCCCATGGCCAAGCCCAGGCAGAGCCAGCCTGTGTCTCCTGTGCTCTGGTGTTTCTATCCTGCTCCTTTTCCATGATTCTGCAGCAGAGTGCAGCTCCAGCATCTCCCAGGACAGTGCAAAAGAGCTTCAAATCAAGCCCCTTTGATTTCTCTCTGAGTGAGGAGTAGGTGGGGAGGGGGATTTATTTGTTCAGAATCCACTCTTGGGATTTGTTGAGGGAAACTGAAGCTGGGAGTTAATCTAATCYGGAGTCTGTCCCACAGTCCTTAATTTATTATCTGGACATTTGGAAAATGCATATATCTCCAATTAAAAATAGGAACCATTTGTGTGTTGTGGCCAATGTAGATTTATTTCTGACAATACAATAAATTCAGCACAGATTGGAACCAGCTGCCCCAGCTCTAAATACCTGAAGTTCCCACTCCATGTCACCAGGCCTAGGATTTGGATGCAGCTGTGCCATAAGGGRACAGCTCAGCATTGTCCTTGCTTACATGAGAAAATAAATGCTCCTAGGGAAGGTCTGGCAAGGGAGCTTGGTCATGGAAAACCTGAGAGCCAAATCAATCTGCTTAAAATTGATTGATTCCTCCAGCGCAGAGAGAAAGCAGGAGCAGGGCTTGTGGGTATGGGGGAAACACATTTTATTAAAGGAACACATCTCTCTGACTAGCACGTCTCAACAAATCTTCCTCTGGGCTCCTGGCATTCCCAAGAGGTGCAGTGCAGAGATGTCACCTTTCCAAAGGCAGGGATGCTGATCTTCCCCAAACTTCAGCTGCTGATCTCCCCAAACCTCAGCTCTGCCCCCACACCAGGTCTCTTTGCATCTCCTTTGCTTCCAGGCAGAGCACCCCAAGAGCAGTAACCCTGACATGGAGCCTGCAGCTTTGCACCACTCAAAATACACAAACCCTGTTCCATATCTGGGGTATATTAACAGAACAGACCGTTTCACTCACCTGTTTCCCTTCTGCCCCCTCTCACCCMTTTGGATCATAAGATTCCCAGGGCAGGACTATCCTGTGGGTTACAGCTGCACAGATTTTTATTGCCATCTGGGGAAAAGCTATGCAAATATTGCTGTGTAAATATTTTGGTCCCYGTGCCTTCCCTCCAGGCAGTCCATKTGCTTCAGGGAAGGGGTAAGGCACCAGCTTTGGTTTTTCCCCCACCTATGGGAGAATTGGTTTTGTGCTGATCTCTCCACTCAGACAGCAGATAAATCACTGGAATTCTCCTTCCTGACAGCTGTGAAGAGCTCTTCCAGCCCAGCCTTGAAATGCTTATTACAAAGATGCATAGGTGGAGGCAGGGAAAGATTTTAGCTGAAAATACCTTACAATGAGAGACCTTTGATTTGTTTCTTTATAAATGTGGAAGCTGCCTAGTCAGAATTTCCATTTACAGTCTGATAATGTACGGCAAGACAAAAATTCTCATAGGAAATTGGTTGAGGTGGTCGTTTGGAAGAACAGATAGAGGCATTTTTGAAAACACATCTGTTTCTTTTAATTTCATTTTCCTGATGAGCAACTCAGCTGCTGGCCACAGCATTTGGTCACTGTCAGGCAAGCCAGCTCTAGCCAGAATATCTGAGTTCAACAAGGGGTTTTGTGTTATTGTTTTTGAAATCAACTATTGCAATCACCGGAGAGCAAAGCATCAGGTGACGAGGTRCTTTTTTGGCAGCAGAGCAGGTTTCTTCCTATGTGCTCTGGCCATCAGGAAGAGGCACCATGCACATTTCAACCMTTTAAAACATTTGCACAAACCAGCTGCATCTCTCCCCTGCCCAGAGGCTGTKCTCTTGGCAGCCACGGGGAAACACAGATTCTCAGGCAGGAATCTCACTGCGAGATGAAGAGCACTTTGGCTGTGTTACACTGTGAAAGAGCACAAAGCCAAGAGACAGTCAGCCCAAATAGTGAGCAGAGCACTTTTAGTGATGAGCAAACCCCGCTGAGTTTTCTCTCACATCCATCAGGGTTGTTTACAGCAGGACCATCAGCCACTGAAACCAGCGTGTTTTGCTAACAGGATCACCACAGGAGCACCGGCACAACTTCCCTGAGCCCTTGTTTTGACACAGCACACTTCACACACACACACAAATTGTTAATTTTCATCCATTAATATTTGAACACTCGGCATTTTCCGCTGGATAAATCCCTTCCAGTCACTGTCCTGTGTTAAACTCGTAGCTGCATTCAGCACTACACACAGCTGTGTTTCAGTAAACAGCAGATTAGTTCTTGCACAGGCAAGTTTGCCAAAGTCCCTGGGAGCTTTCAGACCATCAGACACTAAGCAGGAAAATATTGCCAGGGAAAAAAAACCCCACAGAATTGCTTACCTGCTGGGAATTGTGGAGACACAGCCAACAGCAGCCAGATGCAAGGACCAYGCTGGGTCCAGAGTAGCTCATGTTTGCCAAATTTAAAGAGTGAGCCCCAGCAAGGTGTTCTGGAAGAGGGAGCATTCCTCCTCTGAGCATAGTGGGGTGCATGGGGACACGTTCTGGTGGTGAAGCCCTCTTGGAAATGGCTTTTTGTGAGGGTTGGGGGCTGAGGATCTGGATCTGAACTGCTTTAGTCCCAAAGGGAAGGTTGTTCATGGAAACGCAGCTCCCAGGAGTGACACCTATGTACTCCCAGCTTCCCTGCGAGCCCAAGCCCAGCAGCTCTTCCCTTCTCCCCTGTGCCAGGTGAGCTGTGCTCTGCTGGGCTGGCAGTGATGCTGTGGGGCCAGGCTGCAGCTTCTGTTCCTGCCACACGTGTCCAGCCCAACAGCCCTTCTSTATACAGAGAGATCCCAGTCCATCCTGCTGCCTGTGCAGAGCTCAGTCTCGGAGGGAAGTTTTCATTTTGGGATATGTGATCCTGGTGTGGCCCCAAAGGACCTGGATCCCGGCATGTTTGTCCCCCTGCTGCCTGTTTAGGAGGCATCCAGGTGGCAGGACAGCTGCCTTGGGTGGCCAGGAGCCAGGCTCTCCAGCTGACCATGCTCTGTTTCTGTCAGGACAGYAGTGAGGCAGCAGATGGAGCTGGTACCTGGGATGAAGAAGTCACCAAGTGGTGGGGGGAGTGGAGCTCTTGGTCCACGTGCTCSCGGTCCTGCGGAGGGGGTGTGATGTCCCGGGAGAGGCACTGCTTGCAGCAGAGGTGAGTGCTGTGTGCTCAGCTGGCTCCCAGCCTGAGCCCCTGGCCAGCTCTCGGGGGGTGGAAGGGAAATGGGGTGTCCCAGACCTGGGTTTTGGGGCTGAACCTCCTGGGTTTGCAGGAATCTGTGGCCTCTGGGGAGGGAAGGCAGCTGCTGTCTGGGTGAGTGGGCAGTGCTGGGGAAGGGTGACAGGAGAGGTACACCACTGTGGGGCAGGTGACAGGTTGTCTGAACGTGTTAACCCATTCAGCTTGACTTACCTGATGGGGAGCAAGGGGTTGCTCATATCTAGGGGTCCTGAAGGGGACAGGGCTGAGGGCTGCAGAAGGCTGGCTCTTTTCCTCTCCCCTTCCCTTCCCAAAGCCTCCTTGCTGTGGCTGCTCTGACCAACCCAACCCTGATTTATGGCCAGTTCCCATGCTAAGGGTATGGGCACATATTCCCAGACACCGCATGGGGACTKGATTTACTCCCGGTGATGCCAAAATCTGGCCACCTAAAATGGAGGCTAGACAAAATTGAGAGAATCAAAAGCAGTTGTATTTATTGAAGAGCCTTCAGGTACATTTAGGGCAGTCACAGCTGCCCTATTAGTGACTATTTTCCCATTTAGGGTGGTCATAGGGGCTACACCCAAAGTGGACAATGGGTCATGGGTTTTTCACACTTTATGAGTTTTGTCCATTTGCATTTCAGAGGTTAATGCTCCAATTACAGCTTCAGGTAATGAAGTCATTTACTCTGAGTTGGCTCCCCCCAATTCACTGTTATTTACATATCCTGCAGCCTGGGACAGTGAGGTGTCCTTGAGTTTGGGGCCTGGAGAGGAATTGTTTTGTCTAAAATGGGAGAACAGGAGCTCAGCACTGTCTGTGGAGTCTGGAGTTATCCACTAAAGAATTCCAGGATTACAGACACATGAGAAATAGAGAAGCTAAAATCCTAAGGCACTACTGGCAAAAGCCAGGATAGAGCTGGCAAGTCTTTTCCCCCTCTGTCACTTGACAGTGTTTGTCCCCTATGGCCACATTCGTCTGCTATGGCTGCTGCAGTCCTGGTGTCAGTCAGACTGAGTTTGTGGGAGCAGGGAGAGTTGGGGAACTCCTGATGTCCCCTCCAGGCCACCTTGCCACCAATTCCCCTTCCTCYKCCTCCTCCTCCTSCWGCAGCAGYAGCTCTGTTCCCTGCTTCTCCCACTCCTGTGCTGTTAATGAGAGCGGGCATCCCGCAGCACAGCGAGCTTTCCCTTCTGCATGAATGCACCCCTGAGCAGGGCAAGCTCAGGCCAGGGCCCCAGCCTGCCCTCCTGCCTGCAGCACAAAACTTCTTTGTGGGCTGGCTGGCAGCGTGGGGAGGGTGCAGATGTGCTGCAGGACCTTCCCTTTGGTTCTGGATGTGGCCTCCTGGATGTCTCTGCTGCTTCTCCTCCCCTCCAGGACCCTGTGGGGAGCAGCACAGGGAGGGAGCCTGGGGTTGTCCCACAGCCCCACAGCCAGAGCAGCCCTTCTGCCCTTTGCYCCCTGCCAGAAAAGAGATTTTTCTCTCCATTTGGTCGAGCTCTGTGCTCGACTCTACAGCCGGGGAGGGAAGGCTTTGCTGTGGTGTTTCACTCCAGGGATCAAATCTGAATTAAAATAAGAGAAATCCCATCACAAAACTCAGCCCAAAGGTTTCTGCAGCTTTAAGGTGAATGGCTTAAGTGTGAGCCAGATATGGCCACCAAAMAATTTCAGCCTCTGCCTCTGAAAGGCATGGCACTTTTCAAATCTTTTACTGCAGATTTAGGCTCTGCCTGTGTCCTGTAAAGCATTGCTCTGGTGGGACAGCTGCAGTGCCTCCAGCCAGTCCAACCTGAATATGTTTAGGGTGTTCCTTGTATCCTATATTCCCAGTGCTGTGTTTGATGCAGATCTTTACAACTGCCTAAATTATTTTGCAGATTGTTACYTCATTGCCTTAACCCGTGGTCTCAGCCATTCTCCGTACATCTTCACAGCTTTCAATAATTTTTTCTGCCTTTGCATCTGTCCAGTATCTCCTGGACAACTCATGCTGGCCAGAGAGAAAGCTTCAAGCATTGAGAAATTCCTGTTCCAAGCCTTCCYTGATAATCTGTGGGGTGGCCAGGCCCAAGAGAGGCACCTTCTCTCTGCCTGTAGCACACTGGACTCTGAAATCCACTCCCCCAGTCACTGCAAATCGATGGGACTGATGGACCATCAGGTTCTGATGTCTTTTTGGTCACGTCAGCTCTTTTAGAGCTCAGAGGTGAAGGGGCACAGGGGTGGCAATGTCTGCTCAACCCACCCCAAAACAAGAGTGGCCTAAAAGCACAGCCCACCTAAAAGCACTGCAGAGGTGTTTCAGAGGAGGTGTTGGCCACTCTAGACCCAGCAAGTGCTGCTCTGACAAAACACCTGCCCTGTTTCTCCCACTGAAGTGTGGCCTGACTCCTGTGCCTTCCTCATACCGTGGCATTTCACACAACTCCAGCTCATGTTGGGAAATTCCTGCTTTGCAGGCTCCAGATGCCCCAGGGAACAAACAGCACMGTGTGTGTTGGTCAAGCCAAGTACTACCAACTGTGCCAGCAGCAGGTGAGAACCACTGCCAGTCTGCCTGCTCCTCCCTGGGGAATTTGAGGGGACTCAGGGGGTCCTGCTTGGACCTGCAAAAGCACCAGCACTTGGGGTCAGACTGGTCTGTTATGGATGGAAACAGCAGATATGATCCACTCCTRGGGTGGTGGATGCTGTGCCTTTGAGGATGTGGGAGATGGCCTCTGCTCTCTGGGACTGGGAGATGGGGCAAAAGGATGTAAAAATGTATTTGTTGTGGCTGAGGGGAGGGAAGGAGGAAGTTTTTCCCAGTATTTTTTGCACAGAAGCTTTTCCCATTGCTGGAAGGAAKTTTTGCAGGACTGTTCAATGCAGTTGTCTGAGAGGCCCTTGGCAATGAAAGCCTGGCCTTTCTGGCTGTGTTAGAGCACCTTGAAGTCCATCCCCAGTCCTTCCAGGGCATTTTCACCCTGCAAGGATGCAGCAGGGACAAGCAGCTGTGACAAGCATGGCAGGGAGGCAGGGAGCTGTTTGATTGCATTTATTCCCTCCCCAGCCCTGCCCAGCCAACACAGCGAGCTTCAAGCAGCAGCAGTGCTCCAGTTTCAATGGCAAAGCCTTTGGGAAGCGCTACTACCACTGGATGCCCCTCTATCCAGGTGGGTTTGCACACCTTCACACACAGCATGAGGGTGGGGAAACACCCACAGGATCTTGTTGGGCACAGAGAAGTCCCAGGGGACGAGGGGTGGATGCTCCTGGCTGGTGTGGGGTGTTCTGAACAGGATGCTGATCCATKTTCTGAACARGATGCTGATCCATTTCCTGCACAGMAACTTCACATGGGTACCCAGTTGTCCCTTGAGGCCCAGGCTGAGTTCCCTGAGATTACCCCATTTCTGGACTCAAGGTGCTTTTCCATTAGCTGCCAAGGGGACATGAAACATCTGCACCTGAATAGGCACAGCTGGCCACAGCCCCATGCAGTCAGTGCCTCTCTCACAGCCCTTTTTTTTGCTCTTGTGGGTTTATGTGTTCCCTGGGATCTGCTGATGCCCATTCCCATGTCTGGCATAGCGATGGCACTGCCAGGGCATGGCAAGGAAGAAGGTTTGCCAGAAAGAAGCATTTCTGCTTGGCAAAGCCTCACACCGTGACCCCTTCACTACGCTAAAATCTGTGGCCTTGGGGTGTCATCTCAAGGAGCAGGGACATCCAAGGTGACATCAAACCATCAGGAGGGAGCAGGGGAAGGACCCCTTCCTCACTGGCCACCTCTGACCTGCCTGGTGACCCCTGTGTCCCCGCAGATGACTACACCAGCATCTCCAACAAGCCGTGTGACCTGCAGTGCACCACCCGCAGTGGGGAGAGGCAGCTGATGGCCCGAGCACAGGACGGCACCTCCTGCAAGGACAGGACCTATCAGGGGGTCTGCATCAGTGGCAAGTGTGAGGTGAGGCTCTGGCAGGAAATTGTAGAGAAATTGGGATTGTAATTGCATGGCTGGACCTCCTGGTCATGGCAAAGCYGAGGGGTCCCAGCAGGGAATTGAAACCTGGCATTGGATTCATTCATCACACCCGCCCCAAAAGCTCCCCAAAAGAGCMCAGTAGCATTTCCTGGGAAAGACCCTTCCCTGTGGAGACAAGCTGGCCCCAGGAAACCCTCTCTTGTTTTGTCCTTTGCAGCCAGTTGGGTGTGACGGGAGCCTGTACTCGGCCCGGACCATGGACAGATGCAGGGTGTGTGGAGGGGACGGCAGCACTTGCCACCGTGTCTCGGGCAGCTTCCGAAAGGCAATCTCACAGATAGGTACTCCCTGCTACCAGTCTGCAGACTTCATCTGCTGCTTCTTACCACCAGCTGGCATCAAGGGGGACTGGCCTGGATGTGGGGAGGAGCTTCCCAGCTGCTTGGTGGAAAGAGTTGAGGAATGCCACCACCCCTGGGTTTTGTCCACCTTTTAATCATCAGAGGAGATTGGTTTGATGTGCTCTGTGGTAGGCTGGTAAGGTTTCCCTTCACCTCTTTACAACAGGAAGCAGCTGGGGATCTATTTGTTCCTATTGATTTTGGCATCTTGCCCGCCTCAGGTAATGTGAAGGGATCAATGAATCTTCTTTTGCTCTGTGTTCATTTGAAACTTGAGCCRTCACGAGGGTCACAGCGTTTGTTTCAGCCTGCACCACATCTCCTGTTTCCCCYTGTGGCTGGCACAGCTGAGGGACAGTCCCCTCTGAAATTGGGCTGGGATGCATCCCCGCAGGAGCAATGGACTGTGGAATGCTCATTAGTAATTWATTAGCTGTGGTTTGAGGATGTTTTGGAACATTTCACCCTGCTGTTGCTTCACTGGCTTGCCTCGCTCCCTACAAACAGCAGAGCAGGAGTAATGGGGTCACCCCCTGTCACAGTGTGGGTGCAGTTTTGGCCTCCCMTTCCAGCCCTCATAGTATCTCACAGAACAGACAAGACTGCATTTCCAGCAGGAAAGACAAACTCCCAAACCATGCAACTTAAAGAGCCTCTTATTTCCTCTCCCTTTAAAGGTCAATTTTTATGTTCCTCCCGAGACAAATTCCATGGAGTCAGGAGCTGAGRGGTCTTTTTCCACTCTCTGTTCAGCATCAGCCCTGATCACTACTAAGCTTTTTTTCCATGCTCTTGCCAGAAAGAGTGGGAAAGCACATCCATCCACACCCCCAAAGCCAGACTGTTTCATTGTGCAGTTCCTTCCCGACTCCAAACCCAAGATTGCTCAGACTGACATCCGCAATGGTGACCTGTAATGGGATTTCAGAGGAGAGCTGGGATGAGAGCTCACAGACTGGTGCAATGTGCATTTTAKGTCCTTGGCACTCTGCTCCTGAAGGGCAGCACTGCCCCCCTACACACACAYACTTGTCCCATGAGCTGCTTCTCCCACCCAGACCTTTTTATTCTGTCCTCGGGGTGTCCTCACACTCTGCTCTGTTCCTCAGGTTACGTGTTCATCACCAACATCCCTGCTGGTGCTATGGACATCCTCATCATTGAGCGCAGGAAAACAGAAAACATCCTGGGTGAGCAGAGGAGCTGAGGGCTGTGGAGATGCTGGTTCAGCTGCCTGGGAGGTGGGAGGACGCTCTGTGCACTGCCACCTGTGCTGTGAGAGAGCTACTGACAGCATTTCCAGCACAGGGGTGCTTCATCTCTCCAAAAAACAAATTCTCTGTGGGCAGGGCCTGTGGTTTTATTTCTGCTGGGCTTTTCTCACTCACTCTGCTGGGCTCTTTGCTCTCCTCAGTGCCAGAGTTGTGCAGAGCATCACATTTAWGTGTTTTCTGTCTCTCTGAAGCACTTGCAGATGAATCCGGGCATTTCTTCTTCAACGGCAACTCGGCCATTGACAACCCCCAGAACTTCAGAGTCGCTGGCACCATCTTCAAGTACCGGCGGCCCTCGAGCCTGACCTCGGATGGGCTGGAGTACATCATAGCTCACGGGCCCACGAACCAGTCTCTGAATGCCATGGTATGTCAGGAGCCAGTTTTAGGGTTTCCTGTCTTGATAACAGGGGTATAACCTGATTCCCAAGCCAAACCCACGGCTGGGTCGCTGTTGGGGTGGCCACAACACACAAACACATCCATACCTCACAAAGGGCCAAAGCTGTTTGTTCCAAGAATCAGTGTCATTTTATACACTTTTGCACGTTATTATTTGTGTTACACATTTATTGGCTACCAAACCACTACAACAAATTCATTGGCTTCTACTCAACTACAGCACACCGCTGTTGGTCACCTATAGTATAAGCATTCAAGCATTCAGAAAAACGCCAGGTGTAGCCTTGTTGCTGTTTTTCTCCTATTGTTTAAGTTTCTTGCTTCTGTTGATACTGCGTTCTCACAGGTAGAAATAATAGCTCTATCACTTGTTTTCCAGGGTTATGTAACCTGTTTTTCACCTCTACTTTAGCTAAATCATTCCTTGAATCCTTCTCTGGTTAACCAAAGTAAAAGCAGAGAGCATGAGTTTTACAAGGGAAACAAGGCCCTTGTTTTACAAGGTTTTATAAGGTTTTATTTATCTGAAACATGGGAGGAAGCCACACAGTCTTGGTGGGGAGGGGCTTTCCTTTTGGCTTCGTGAGGATGCAGTCTTGTCTTGACAACCATCACCAGATGGACGTGGCCAGAAAAGGCCGCTGGGAAATTCATAACCCTTAAAACAAAAGCAGTTTTGCTTTCTCCCCRTTTCCTCCAGTACTACAACTTCAACGGGAAGATGCCTCACATCACCTACGACTACACCGTGCCACGGCCGCCGCCTCTGCGAACTGCAGCCCCTGCCCTCGCCAGACCTCTGTACCAGCACCTGCCAGAGACCAACCAGAGCCACCCCGTGCCAGCCAGCTCCAGRGCTGCCCAGGACTTCAATGCCACCTGGCTCTCCCTGGCACCAGATGACACCAGCGACCAGCTCCCTCTAAGAGAAGGGCAAGAAGATTTAGACTTTGGTCCCCCGCACTTCTTCCAGACCAACTCCACTGGTCAGAGCCGGGATTGGGGCTGGGAACAAGGTGAAGAGAAGGASAAGTATGACTTTCAGATCAGACAGGTCTACCAGGCAAACACAGCAGGAGAGGAAGAGGAGGAGGAAGCAGCAGCGGTTGGTGGAGAAACAGAATTGGGTTGGTTGCTTTGTTCTTCCTTGCCTCGTTTTACTGATTGAAAGCAGGCATTCCACAGTGGTCTTCTTGAAATCGAAGGTGGCTTCAGCACCAGGAGGGAAGGATGGTTAATAGTRGGGTGGAGGCTGTCAGGGGGAAGCAAGGGCTCTGTGAAGGAAGGGGAGGCTGGGAGAGGGTGACGATGATATGCATTAGGCAGGGCACTCCCTTGGGACCCCAGCTTGGCAGAGAGGGCAGTGACAGCAGCAGTCCAGTGATCRTCAGGGGACAGCAAGGTGACAATCTGAGGTCGAYCTGRGAGAGCCAAACAACAATTCAGGAGYAAAGTACACCTGCAGCATTGTGYAGCCCTGGACTGAAGGCCCAGACTGGAGCTGAAATGGAGCTCCAGAGCAGTGGGCAGACAGAGTGAGGGGTTGGTCAGGATAATTAAAGACTGTTGGTGCTCCCTGGTGGAAATTTATGTTGTTCAGGCTGAGCACCGAATGTATTTTACCTTGTTAAATGCCACATGCTGAAGTAGAAGCCATCCAGTACAGCTAAAGCACTCCTGTATTTTTCTTCCAGCTCTCAGGTTCAACCAAATCTCCATCAGCACAGCAGTGCCCTACAGCATGCGGAGAGCCGAGCTGCCAGAGAATGGCCGTGTGACCAGCTCCAGGCTCCGTCTGTTCCGGCGCCTGTGTCACCGTGACCCTGGCAATGCYGCCTTCTGCAGGGAGCTGCAGCCCCTGGCAGCCCSGCTGGCCCCTGGCAACTCCTCGGCCGGGCTCTGGGCCGGGCTAGCTGCCMGCTGGCCACAGGGCCTCCACAAAGCACCCGCCCGCAAGAACTCACTGCAGGACATCGAGGGGGAGGCGCTGGCCGGGGGTCAGGGGGACACAGCCAACAACAGCTCGGTGGTGTCTGCGGAGAGCCCTGTGCTTGGGGCCAGCCCCACTGCAGACATCAGCCAGGCAGAGCCCCTGCGAGCCCCTGGCACTGAAAGGTGGCACCTGATTCCCTGGGTGAAACACAGCAGGGTTGGCTGGGCAAGGAGAGAGGGAGGGAGGGCCAGGCCAGTCCTCTGGGAGTGTCCCTGCTGTCCTTGATGTCCCCATTCCCCGGTGTCTATCCATGGCAACTGCTGCAGGTGCTTCCTCCAAAAATGATTGTTACTGACACAGAGCTCCTGGAACACATTTCAGGATCCATTTAAAGGGGGGCTGAAGGAGCTGCAGGGCCAGCGCTGGTGTGGCTGTAATGAAGGCCACGAGTCCCTGGCATGTCCCATACGCACATTTACCGCTGTGTCACACCACTCCTGTCCCATTCCTCTGGGCATTACCCTCTGAAGCTTCTCTAAATATTTGGCAGCAGACTGAGTGCCATATTTTAAATATTTCTGGCAAGCCACCTATGAGCTCTCCCCACCAGATTATGTGATACAAGAGCAACCTTGCTTGACCCTCCCTTTCCAACCCAAATCCAGCCTCTCAGGGTGAGGTGTGAGCTGAGGCTGAGGGCACCCACATGGCTGACAGACCAAGATACACACGAGACTCACTGTGAACAATGCTTCCTCCTTGCTAGCTGGATTTGGGAGGTGGATCCAGGCTTTTTCTCTGTTCATCAATGGTCTGCCTTGCCCAAGGCRGGGGAAATGGAAAACAGAAACACAGCTTTCTTCCCATCTTCAAGGGCAGCAAGGAGGAATTTCCCTATATTTCATGTTTGCAGCATTTTTTTTCACTTTTAGCTCACGCCAGCTCCTTTTTCCACAGCAACGAGTTCGATGTGAGCCCTGTGGGCCACGATGACATCAGCCTGGCTGACATGTACCGGTGGAAAGTCTCAGCTTATGCCCCCTGCAGCTCCACCTGCACTTCAGGTAGGTTCAGCTCCAGGTGAATGATCACAAGAGGTCCTTTTGGACTGTTGAGGGAGAGAACCCTGGCATTTTTGATATGATAGTGAGAATGTGAGATGCAGCGAGCACTCCAGTTATTTCCTGATGGTGAGAGGAGGCTCCTGGATGTGATGGAGCRTGGCTGAGGGCTTTGCTGGCCCCGCAGGTATCAGCACCTCCTACGCAATGTGTGTGCGCTACGATGGTGTGGAAGTGGACGAGTCCTACTGCGATGCCCTGACCCGGCCAGAGCCCACGCACGAATTTTGCACAGGGAGAGACTGCCAGCCGAGGTGAGTGGAGGTGACATTGCTGTCTGCAGGGACACATCTTTCTAAGGATCATTTTCTGCTCAAGGCAAGCAGCCGTTTTTGGGCTGAAAGGTACGCTTCAACGAAGCAGTCCTTGTGTAAGCAAAAAGAGGGAAAGAATTTGGGACCGAAGGGCAAAGCTGGCCTCAAGGCTGGCACAGCATTTACACAGACATGCAGGTGGTGAGGAGAGGGAGCCCCAGATGTGCTGGCACTGCCTTGCCTCGCCTCGTTCCCTCACCTGGGTGTCCCTTTGTGCTCTCTCTGCTCGCCGAGGTGGGAGACCAGCCGGTGGAGCGAGTGTTCCCGCACGTGCGGCGAGGGCGTGCAGTACCGCACCGTGCGCTGCTGGAAGATGCTGGCGCCCGGCTTCGACAGCTCTGTCTACGACGACCTCTGCGAGGCAGCGGGGCTGGCCAGACCCATGGAGAGGAAAGCCTGCAAGAACAAGGCCTGTGGGCCCCAGTGGGAGCTGTCTGAGTGGTCTGAGGTAGGCTTTGCTCCCAGAGCTGGGCAGCCAGGGCTGGGCTGGGCTGGCAGATGTTGGGTGCCGAGGGAGCCCCTGACCGACTGTGCCCTGGGGAAACATGGAGTGCCTTTGTCTGCAGCTCCCCTGCTCTGGCACTGCTCAGCAGAAAAAGGCCATCACAAAACATTTTTTGTAAGGTCGATTCTCAAGGACTTTGACCTTGACAGAGATCCTTGGTCTCAGGACTTTGACCAAGTGAAAGCCCTGACAGCAAGGAGCTTCCTCTTCCAGAGGATCCAAACAGAGGGCAGATGGAGAAACAGTACCAGGGAGATACACAAAAACGAAATGCCCATTTGTAGTCCCTTTGGCTGACATTCCACAGCCTGCTTGGGTTGTGACTCTGAGCAGCAGTTTGGGCATCAGCACATCTGAGACTCAAAGTAAATGAACAGCAGAGATGCACACACCTTTCTCTGTCCCTGCTGGGGCCCTTCCCCTCTCTCCTAGAGCAGCAGGAGGCAATCAGGAGGTGGCACAGCCACCTCCCCACCCTTGTTCTGTGTCCCCAAGCCCCGGGGCTGAGTGCCTGTGTCCCTTGCAGTGCTCGGCACGGTGTGGCTCTCCAGGGACCATGAAGCGGGAGGTGCGCTGCTCCGTGGAAGCCGCCGCGTGTGACGAGTCCCGCAAGCCCAGCAGCGAGAAACCATGCACGGGCCCCCCCTGTGACCGCCGCTGGACTGCCTCCGACTGGGGCCCCGTGAGTCCGGGAGCTGCTGCTCCTTTTTCCCCCAGCGSCGAGCTGCAGGGTGGGAGCAGCCAGAGAGCTGTGCCTCAGCTCTCTTTCTGGCAGAGGCTGAGCTAAAGAGACTAAAATAAGCCCTGGGTTTGGTTCTCCTTGCTGTAAATTTTGGGTAATTGTGAGTTGAGCTCCATTTGATAATCTGGGAAGCCCACGGCACCTGGAGAATGGAAGCCCCTAACCAAATGAACCCCTAAAGCCCCTTGGGTTCTGGTGCCACAGTCCCAG